AAACTAGAGCTTGTTCACACAGATGTTTATGGACCAATACCAGTTTCTTCCGTAGGAGGATCGAACTACTATGTGACCTTCATCGATGATTCAACACGCAAGGTATGGGTTTATTTTCTTAAAAATAAGTTTGATGTCTTCAACACTTTTAAGAAATGGAAAACCGCTGTTGAATTGGAAACTAACCTAAAAGTAAAGTGCTTGAAGTCGGATAACGGTGGGGAATACATTAGCACAGAGTTCACTGATTATTGTGCTGAAAATGGCATTCGGATGATAAAGACGGTTCCAGGCACTCCTCAGCARAATGGAGTGGCAGAAAGAATGAACAGAACTTTGAATGAGAGGGCCARGAGTATGAGGCTTAATGCTGGGCTTCCAAAGACGTTCTGGGCTGATGCAGTTAACACTGCAGCTTATCTTATCAACCGAGGAATATCAGTACCGTTGGGCTTCAAGATTCCAGAGGAAGAGTGGAACGGTAAAGCAATCAAGTATAAGCATTTGAAGGTGTTCGGATGCAGTGCCTATGACTTGAAGAAAGATGGTGACAAGTTGGATGCAAAAGCCAAGAAATACACCTTCATTGGATATGGCTCTAATAGTATGGCTACAGGCTTTGGGACTTTGAAAGCAGAAAAGTAGTCAGAAGTAAACATGCAACTTTCAATGAGGCTGAACTTTATAAAGACAGAAGCACAGTAAACTCAAAAGATCAGAAAGAACAAGTTGAGTTTGAAAGTGATGACATCATAATCAGAGGGCCAGAAGATACTCATGATAATGGGAGTACTAAGTCTGATTTTCAGAATAATGATGAGTCTGAAGATGTTCAAGAAGACACTGTCAACAGCGAAAGTTCAGAGGATGAAGAAGAACCATCATCTCCGGTACAATCTCAACCAGTTGAATCACACTGGGTCACCAGAGTCTCTAGGCCTCCTGAAAAATACAATCCATCAGTCAATTATCTTCTTTTGACTGAGAATGGTGAACCAAAAAGTTATTCTGAAGCTATTAAGCAGAAAGATTCGTTGTAGTGCGAGCGTGCAATGAAAGAAGAAATGGGATCTCTGAACAAGAACAAAACTTGGGTTTTAACCAAGCTTCCGCATGATAAAAAGGCGTTGCAGAACAAGTGGGTTTTCAGAATCAAGGAAGAGCATGATGGATCTAAACGGTACAAAGCCCGTTTAGTGGTCAAGGGTTTTCAACAGAAAAAGGGGATTGATTACAATGAGATCTTTTCTCCAGTGGTGAAAATGACCACCATCAGATTGGTTTTGAGTATTGTAGCTGCATAGCGCTTACATCTAGAGCAACTAGATGTCAAGATAGCATTCCTACATGGTGACCTTGATGAGGAAATTTACATGGCACAACCTGAGGGTTTTCAGATTGCTGGTAAAGAAGATTGGGTCTGCAAACTGAAAAGGAGCTTGTATGGTTTGAAACAAGCACSYAGGCAATGGTACCTGAAGTTTGATAACTTCATGGAGAGGGCCGGGTACAGAAAATGTGAAATGGACCATTGTTGTTATGTGAAGAAATTCAAGAGCTCCTATATCATTCTACTTCTCTATGTAGATGATATGTTGATTGCAGGTGCGGATATGAAAGAGATCAGCAAGTTAAARAAGCAAATGTCTGAAGAATTCGAGATGAAAGACTTGGGTCCAGCAAAACAGATACTCGGTATGAGTATTGCTAGAAACACGAAAGATGGCTCTTCGACACTATCCCAGGAGAAATACATCGGGAAAGTGTTAGAAAGATTCAAGATGAATGATGAGAAGACAAAACCCAGAAACACCTTTGGGAAGTCATTTCAGGCTTACCAAAGATCAGTCTCCAAGATCAGAGGATGAGAAAGCAGATATGGCTAATGTTCCTTATGCATCTGCTATTGGTAGTCTCATGTATGCCACGGTTTGCACGAGACCAGACATAGCCCATGCTGTCGGGGTTGTTAGTCGCTTTATGTCAAATCYGAGGAGAGAACATTGGGAAGCAGTCAAATGGCTGCTCAGATATTTGAAGGGTAATTCAAAGTTGGGATTATGTTTCAAGGGTAAAGACTCAGTTCTTAAAGGATATACTGATGCTGATTTGGGTGGATGCAAAAAGACATTTAAAAGCATTACTGGGTATATTTTTACAATGGGAGGAACAGCAGTTAGTTGGATGTCCAGACTTCAAAAAATTGTAACTTATCAACAACAAAAGCTGAATACATGGCAGTTGTTGAAGCTAGTAAAGAGCTAGTATGGTTAAAGACTTTTCTTGAAGAACTTGGGAAAAAGCAAGCTGATTACTCGTTACACTGTGACAATGAGAGTGCAGTGAAACGTGATAAAAATCTAGTCTATCATGGGAAAACAAAGCACATTGGGATGAGGTATCACTTTGTCAGAGGACTAATCAGTGATGGTACGATGAACTTGAAGAATATCTCAGGTGCAAAGAATCCAGCAGACATGTTCACCAAGTCTGTGACGCTGGATAAGCTGAAGTTCTGTATGACTTCAGCTGGCCTTCAGGAATAATGTTGAGAAGGCAGGTGGCAACTAGGAGAGCTCAAGCTCGGTTGGTGTTTACAGAAGTTCAAAGGAGTGCAGGTGAACGTGTTTCGAAGCCTCCAAGTGGGAGATTGTTGGAATGTAGGCTTCGGCCTACTAAGTTAGACAAAAGGGAGGAGGCATAAAGTAAGGAGCCGGCCCTACCCCAAAAGGAGCCGGCCCTAGTCTCTACCCTAGTTTCCTTGATTAGRAGATAACCCTAATTATGTTTGTCTATATATATATTAATCTCATTGTACTTGTAAACATTTTTGTAGCACCTAAATAAAGAAAAACCTAGTTGCCCCCGTGGACTAGCACGATCAATCTGATCGTGTGAACCACGTAAATTTTTGTGTTCTTCTCTTGTTTTTGGGTTGTACGTAGGGTTGTGCATATTGCGTGTGTAACGTTTGTCCTAACACCCATAACAGCAGGATAGTTTTGTGAGCATTCTTATATGCTAAAAGAGCAGTAAGGAAAAGTTATAGATATACCTTGGGTATTTGCTATGAAGAATCTTCTTGTCACCATATTTCCTCCAAACATAACCATCATCGAGGGCTTCTTTAATCGCCATCCTCGTGGTCACTTTAACTTGCATCTTCCTCCTCTTATAACATCCCTTTCTGCAAACAGTTGCTATATATTACATATCTACACATTTTATCTTGCCTTCTCTTCTATTTTTAAGCAATATCGATGTTATATTGCGTATCTAAAAACCCTACAGCTAATAAACACACATTTAAGCATATTTATACATATCAATAGCAACTTAGCAAGGTAGTTTAGTCCTGCATTTCAGGTTCATTTTCATGAATAACAACACGATTAACAGGGAACTGTTAAATACTAAGAGAGAAGGCAGAGAAAAGTTGATGGTATAGATATTCTCAGAGAATTTGGAATTAAAAATCACATTCTGTAAATGGTCCATCCAGAAACTGCCATAATCTGAGGGTACTTAAAACTCTATAAGCAGGCACTCTTTCATGGATAAAAATAAGTTGTCTCAAAATTTCCTATCACTTCCCTGTCCACCAATCACGTAAAGCCACACCATCGATTTATGGAGGAGAGATAATAAAAAGATTAATTAAATAAACTAATATAAAATAAAATAATGATGTTTCTTCAAATAATTGGTGGGACAAGAAGGAGACAACGAAATTTGGGACAGCAGATATTTATCCCAACGTTCATGTTGCCACTCTTTCTCTACAAAGTATCAATGATATACACATATTTATCTCGCATCTAGTGTTTTGGATCAACAACAATGTATTATCTATACGTAGCTTAACCATGACAGAGCCAATAAACACATGCACACACACAGGACATGTTCAAATGACAACCATAAATATTTTGATAATACGGGAAATAACTAATTCATTAATTATTGAGTGAATTACGGACTTTGTCTCTATGTTTTGGTGAAGTTTATGAGTAGGGTCCTTATACTATGTTTATTATGGATAGGTCCAGGTAGTATTCATTTTTGTAACGGCCATGGTCCTCTAACTAACAACATTAAAAATTTATGTTAACTCAGTTAACCTCGAGGGCATTTTGGTCTTTTTACCCTTTTTTCCTATTAAAAATAATATATATCTATACTCCACCGGTATGAAAAGTTTGTAATGTTAATTGAATGCCCGGTTCTCCAATAGATTGACTTGTCGGCTCCCCTGTCATTGTCATCAGGTCACCAACTTCCTTGACCTTCCGGCAATGGACAGGCAGATCCATTTTGCAAGTTCGTTATTACGGGTAGTTTGGAATGGTCTTAGCTCCCAAATATTCAGACAATAAAAAGAAACTAGTTCCAGGTTCGAATCCCGGTCAACCCATTGTCATATTTAAATTATATTATATATATATATCATATTACATAAAGTATACATATGAGTGGTTTAACACATCCCCTCCCCACATCGGCCTCCACCTCCGGCAACTCCAAAAAGTGAAAACTCTAGCAATGTGAAGGTATTTACCAACACCCAAACTCTCTGCTTTCTACAAATCACATGAATCAAACAAATCCAAAAAGAATTTAGAGTAGGTTTTGTTGATGATGGAACGGCTCAATAAACCCTAATCACTCATGAATCGATGATGATTAATCTTACTAGGTTCTCCATCAAACCCTGAATCGATTAATGACTCAAGGGATGGCAATCACTTAAAATCCTATTTAGTGTTTCAAGGGACTTCTTAATGTTTATCAATCTAATTTTTGGGGACATATTTTCCTTCCACTTCGAAAACGTGTCTTTTAATGATCCCCGTGGTGGGCAAGGTTCCCCTAAACCTACTGTCATCACCAAGCGGGTGGGGGTGGTTACACATAACAGAAGAAGATGAAGCCACAATGGGAGGGTCAATCGGCGGTGAAAGGTTTTGACACGATAGCGGTTTGGGAGGGAAAAGATTACCCATTCATCATCTATATATATCATATTATTATATGAGCCACGTTCTATTGCAAATGCAAGCTCCTAAGCTCCCTTGTGAACAGGGGATATAGGAGAGGACATCACATGGGACATCACATGTACTGGGCATTCATGGGATATTCATCATGAATGTGTATCATTCATCATTAATCATGAATGGATGAATGGAATAACATTTATTATTCATGATGAAGTGGACAACTGGGGACACGTGTCGTGTTTTTCTTTGTCTCCCGATTCACGATGGAAAAAAGGTTTGCAATTGAGCTTTCTTAATTATGTATATTATACACAATATATAAACCAAAGTGACTGTGGCCATAACAAATTGAATACCACCCTGACCAAATCCAGAACAAATATATTATAGGAACCCTACTTGTAATTTTCACCAAAACATGAAGACCAAATCCGTAATAATTCACTCTTAATTATTCATGATCAGTAACCCTAAAATATTCATCATGAATATCATACATTTTCATTACTAACGATATCCATCATCAAAATCTCATCGTGAATATCTATCACGACAATTATCAGGATAATTCATAAAAAAGTTGGTTCTTAAAAGATTTAATGGTTTTCATTTGAACATGCCCTACATATACATACCTATACATACATATATATACATATAGGGTTGGGTTCACGTGAGACCAGCCTGTTTTCGTGAGACCACATTTTTACACTTGAAACTTCACAGCAAAAACATTGTGAAGGTTAAAAAAAGTCGAACCTTCACAGCAAAAACACTGTGAAGGTTACCTTCACAGCAAAAACACTGTGAAGGTTACCTTCACAGCATTTTGCTGTGAAGTTTCAAGTGTAAAATGGTGGTTTCACGGGTCTCACGAAAACAGGCGGGTCTCACATGATCCCAAGTCTATATATATATATATATATATATATATATATATATATAGTTGTGCATACTATAATCACATCAACAATGTTTTTCTTCAAGTGGGATATCATCTACACACAGACATATGCTATGACTTACTTCTTTAGAAAAGCATCTTTGTGAATAGGAACGTTACAATCGCAATCCTTATCTTCATTTTGCAGCTTGCCACTCGCAGGACATGGTGAGTCCCACAGCCTGAGTGCTGTTCCAGCATATTGTGACTGGGTGTCATCATCAGAGTTGAGGATCTTCATTTCTTCGGTTTCATCAAAAAAGGGCACATTCTGATCAATCTGAAGCTGCTCAACTTGTTCCCAGATTTCAGTTAAATCCGAGTAATTATCCCTTGGTGTGTTTTGATCCACTTGCAAAGAGCTACCTAAGGATTGACATGGAAAAGAAAATTACCAAGTTGTTAATGATAGGGCTGGGTAGAAGTGGAAGTGGAGAGTGCAAATAAACATGCACTATTATTTAAGAGAATGTGTAATGTGCCAAGTAGAAACGATTCAACGTAAACATAACATCCAAGACTGGAAGACTCGAATACAAGTTGGAAGGTATATTAGTTGAATACTCACAAAATGAAACTTACCAGGGTGTGTAGGGACCATCGGAAGCTCGAGAAAATGTTGGAGAGAGTTTGTATCTTCTGCTAATTGATCCATTAAACCTCCATCTCTTTTAATTTGTACAAAGACACTGTTCCACGTCAATTTTCCATATTTCAATGCATCCCACCATTCAGTTTCTCCTTTAATCACCTTTGTATGTCTAGATAATTCCATGATGGAAAGATAGTCGAGACTCATGCAATTAAAAACCAGTAACGTATCTAATTGTGGTGCAATGCAGACCCCACTAGAAATACTCACCAGCTCAGGTAGGTCCAGAAGTGATACTCTCTTTAATTTTGGGAGAAACGGACCTTTACTCCAAGCGGTGGCCTCCAGAGTTACAAGGCTTTTGACCTTGGGGCAGTCTTCAACTATAAGTTCAGTTAAGTTTTCGAAATTATCAAGCAAACATCCCACAAAAATGCTAGTCAGCTCAGGGCAAGTATGCAGGGCTAAAATTCTTAGACAGGAYAGACTCTTTTTGCCRATTGGTCCCATTGAAATCCTTTGTAACTTCTTCATGARGTGAAGGGCCAAGAATTGCAGCGATTCAAGTATGACGTCTTCACCMTGGTTAGTGGCTTTATTTMTGTCTTCATATACATCSTCTTGATGGACGAGGGTTTGCATCTCATTACACTCCATKAGCAAGCAATATTTCAGCCTCCTTATGTCAAATACTGAGAGCTTCTCAATAGTCCAATGGCGGCGTAAGTATAAAGCTCTAGCTTGTCTAATTAACTCTGCATTTTCATCCATGCATCCCTCACCGTTCATATATTTTACACATTTCTCAAGCTTAAGGAAATTTTCTTCCATATCAAGTTGCACAGAAAATGGAAGTTGTTCACATTGACCAATCATAAATCTAAAGTTCCACAAACCTGAAAGTATCGGTACTTGATACCTTTCAAGCCTTAGGAACTGTTGCACTAATTTAGTAGTTGGTAAGCACAACTTTAGAGTATTAAGGTCGGGTAAGACAAGAAGATCATGCATAATAGCTTCCAAAACTTCAACCTCCCACCATTTAGCTTCTGGATCCACACTGATACTCAACTCCTTTAGCTTAGTGAGCTTGGAGATTGTCTTCCTCGGAATTATGTGCTCTATGTCATTTCTGTCTTTATAGTCATCTGCATATGCAGACAGAGACACCCTTAAACGTTCCAAAGTCTCTAATTTGCCGATTTCTTTTGGTAGATACATGATCTCAGTTCCTTCGAGATCAAAGACCTTGAGATTCTTAACTGCTCCAATTTCAGGTGGTACTTCYATTAAAAGTGAACATTCTCGCAAGATAAATTCTTCAAGTACACATAACTTGGAAATGGATGGAGGTAAAGATTGTATGCTTGTATGAGACAAATCTAGCACTTTAAGGACTGACATATGCTCAAAGAAAGAGGGTGGCAGCATTGTCAAGCTACTTTTCTCCTGTAAGAACAACTTTGCCAATTTGGGGCAAGGTGGAACTTCTGGGGTCAAGCGAGAGGTAATGGAATTGTTAAAGTGCACTTCATCCGCATCTGAATTTTTACCAATTAGAGACTCCATTGATCTTGGTTAACCTATGGCTTCACAAAACACAATATTGTTCACTAAATGATCGAGTCGATAAACCAAACATCTTCTCTTGTGGCTTCATATAGAATCTGCATCATCACTCAACCTCTAACAACAAGAGGGTGATTACTCTTGAGCTGCTCCATGTCCAATAATACATGGATGAAGCATCTTCAAGTATTACCCTCTTGCATTGTAGATGCATTTGGTATGTTTAAGAAATCAGGAAGTTTCCTATTAGTGCCTGCACATGGCAAAGCAAATAGACCATTAGTGCATGGTTCTAGTGCATGATTGTTCAATGTATACAACATATGCTAGATTGGATTTTGCATCGGTCTAATATTACTCAAAATGTTTCATCCATGTTATATGCAGACAAGGGTTGTGAACAAGATCCACTCAAGACATAGACCATATAAGCAGCTCAACTTGGGAATATCCAAAGTATTTTGGGTTATGACATGGTAGAGAATGGTGGGTTCAGTCGGTCGGCATGTGTGCATTCCATTTTCCATGTGCCATGTTAGTTCAATGACCAAGTACCGCACCTTTGGAGTCCACATGGGAGTAAAGAGAAATATTACATCAGTGATATCCTCATTTTTAACCTTAAGGGTAAGGTTTGGGTTAAAGGGGTGAGGAATGTACAGTATACAGACTACTTCTGTAAATAGTGCAGGAGACTAGTATCAAATATAGATTATAATTGGAATTGATTGTAAATGTGGTGTTTTGTTTGTTGGCTATTAGAATTACCCAGCATTCAAGTTTTGGCACAAAAGCTATCACAAGTTTGGGAGAGAAATCTGAATTGTATATTTTGAACTTACTGAACTACAACAGGAGGGATCTATTTATATGGAAGAAAGAGAAGTAGTATAACACCTAATGACAATTAACAAGAAACAAATTATCTAACTTAACATATTAGACACTGTAATAGCTTCAACTTATTAACAAAATGGGAATAGTACTTTCTCTCTCCATACACACAGACACACACACCTCCCCCACCCCATCGTCTTCTCTTCAACTTTATCTCTCTCCTTTTCCTAACTCTGCTACTTGGAATATATATATCCAAACCTTACAATCTTTTATATTTCACAAAAGGGTGCACGGTTAAATGAAATTTCCATGTTTCATTTGTTTCTGGTAATTTTCCTTCGTGTCTTCTTTCACACACATATCATATAACCACAACTAGGTATGTTCATCGGTTGACATCCATTGGATGTGAGGGGAACCGAACCGCTCCAATCATCCATTGGATGTTGGATTTTGCCAACCGATCCGATTTTATTAACAATGGATAACTGATCCAATCCAATCCAGTGGATGATTGGATCGGTTCGGTTCGGTTCCATCCATTGGATACTTTTATTGGATATCCATCGGATATGCAATCGATGATCCACTGGGATTAGATCCATCCAGTGTGTTAATTCAATCCAATTCTCCAACAATGACACAAATTGATTAATCAATTCAAATATGTGTTAAAACCAACACAAGGGAAGTTAAAAATTCAAAGCCTCACATAAAACAAATTCCGATTTAAGCAATTTGAAAATAAATTAATTGGATGATAGTTGGATAATGGTTGGATGGGCAACTGGATGGTCATCGGATGGGTAATTGGATGTTGATTGGTTCGGTTCAGTTCGGTTTTGGTCGGTTCTGGACTGCCATCCGAGAACCGACCGATCCAAATTCGATGTTGAAATTTTCAATCTGATCCGATCCAATTATAGTCGGTCGGTTCTAATTGAATTAGCCGGTTCCAATTGGATCGGTTGATTTTCTGCACATCCCTAACCACAACCTGTCACATCTCGTCTTGCACCATATCAGTACCACTGAAATTGTTGAATGATCAAAGTAAACTGTAAACCTTATACTCCATCCAGACACTAATCAACTGTAATTAAGCTATCATTTGTAGTATAAATTCTGAAAGTTGTAGGATTGTCATGAGGATTATACATGTTTTAGAATACAAATTAGGGTCCCAAGATATAAACTGTGGCGGTGTGGACCAATCAATGGAAAGGGGACAGATCTGGAACCTTAATTTAGAGAAGGATGTCCATCAAAAACAAAAAAGAAAATCAACAACAATTGGAATCCAAGAGAACATACCTTTATTTCTAAATTGACATCTTCAATTCAAAGGAATTGAAGTTTGCAAGCACAATCAATGCTCCACTTGCAAAAATATGTGGTCAGGTCAAGTCAAGTGCTGAAAAGAAAAAGAAAGCTTACCTAACTTTTGGACAGTTGAGACTTCAGCAGCTTGCTGGGAACATGCAATTTTCTTGAATATCTTCACCATTTATTACAACTGAAAAGCTCAGTAATTTATGTTTCAAACAAGTCATTTTTTACCCATTTGTAATATATGGCTGACTCACTTTGACAAATATATAATTAGTTTTATTATATCATCATCATATCTTTATCATTAATTCTCAATTTGAAATCAATTCCTGAAAGGAGACTGATGATAATGACAAGAGATTAAATAACCAAGGTATGGACCATGCTATTGCTCTCCTGTGTGAAATCAATTCCTTCATTAGATAATAGATACCAGTCCTTCAAATCTCTCTGACTTGTTCCCTGCACCAATTTCAACCTTAAGCTGTGTTGCATCAGTATTTCAACCATGGAGCCATCCCAAGTATTTTCATCTCTATCCATCCTCTTTTGAGTCCTCAAAACATTGTCAATCATCAACACACTTTGTTACAGTTACACCTGGACTGGATACGATTGTAGCTCCATGAAGTCCTATGGACGTTGTAAGCAAACATAATCATTTCCTCTTTAAATTTCAAGAAAAATGCATCATGCCATGTGATTTTATAAGCTATAAGTTTAGCGAACAGTTCAATGAGATTTGGATCATATCCTCTGTGATTTCTGGAACTAGATTTGCATGCCGAAGTTACCATATAACGGATTTATCCACACACAAAAAAGAATTATGAATGATGGAAACTCCACAAACGAATAACAGAGCATTTAGAAATTGTCGAAACCTAAACCCTATGTAAGTATGAAAATTGATTCGCGTATCGGAGTTGCCACATCCGATTGATGAAGATTTTGACGCGAACTCCATAAAAGAAAAAGGAAAACGTACTTGAAATTTAGAAAACTAATGAGGCTCATATCTGTTAGCAGTAAAACAAGAGAAGAGACACCGCTAGCTGCAACTCCTGCAAATGTGGGCAAAATTTTGAGATATTCCAACAATTTTCTGTTACAAAACCTCCTTCAGTCACCCTTTTCATATTCACACATCTGTTAACCGATTACAACTACTTATTGACTTAGGTTACTAAGGAAATCACTTATCAATTTACCCGAATGAAACAAACATCAAGAGTCCTTACCAGGTAAGTGAGGGCGGCTATCATAAGTGTTTACCGGACAAATTGTTGCATATAATGTTGTTTTGGTGGACTAAAATCTTGTTCGTTTAGTAAATAATAGTGTTAGATTTACCGATAAACACTTAACGGGTAAGTGTTTGGTAAACAGCCCCTTAGTCTTTGTCATATTCATCCGGTAAAGTAAAGTGACTTAGTAAGTGTTTACTCGAATAAGCGTTTGGTAAACGGTACCTAAAACGATTTTCCTAAGTATGGACTCAAAGTTAATACTTACTTATTTTTGACGTATGGGATATTTTGGTTTTTTACATCTATTTTTTTTTTGGGGTGTGTTTTTCCTATTAAAAATATATTATATAATATGATCTAATATTCTTTTATATTATATTTTTTAAAAATTAATTCATAATTATTACAAAAACGTTTAACCATTTAAGTTGATCTTTTTATTATAATTAATAAAATAGAAATCATAATTGAAATTATTAAAGATAACGGGTAACGGGTTCTTGTTTACTTTGTTACTTTAGTGGACCATAATTAATTGAGTATAGGGAAGTCGATCGTAATTTATGACGTATCATGTGTGGTCAAAGGCATAATTCACTCGATATTTAATATGTCAATGAAATTTCAACCTTTAATTTCAAATGATTCTATAACTTTGTAAATTTATACCCTCCCTCTCCTATGTTTTTCATTTTCAAAAACATTTAGATGATTTGTTGAAGCAAAAAAAAAAAGGATAAAGGATCCGAATATCTATTTTCTCCAAAAATAGGATAAATGTAATACTATTTGTTGTATTTAACCCTTCTTGTTGTTCATATTAGTTATTTAACTGAGACGGATTTTGATGAAAAACCCCCAAGGTTTGTTTCGGTTTAATTGGTCATTGAACTTTTCAATAAATTGTTATTTAAGGTACGTGGTACGCGTAATGATCTGACTTAGTTGGGCAAATGATCTATACAGTATTTGGTATGACTACAACAGAATTGAGCAATTATTTTTATAGTGTTTGGTAGTAAGACATAACGAGACAAAAATGAAAAGATGACCAGATTATCCCTCGAATGTTATTTAAGAACATTCACAATAAAGATTCTTGTTGAGGTTTTCATAAGACCCTCGACTGTGGGATAAAAGTTATTGTCCAGTCGCATCTTCTTATAATAACTCAAGACAACTTGAGTTCCTTACGAGAGATAAAGGGTTCATAATGTAACAATTGGTAAAGTACAGGGGTGCAAAAGGATAAATTGAAAATAGTAGTTACATTGTGGGTGGTTGTCCTGCCTTGCGTTCATCAAAATGTGAACTTGTTGACGTACCTCCGAAGAAATTTCGTAGATTTTCAATTGAACTTTCGAATCAATCACCTTCTCTTCCAATCAGATCTTAACACCACTATCTGCAAACAAGTAAGAAATCATATATGTGTATATATATATTCTCAATCAGATCAATGGATTTTCAGTTTTGATCTCATTCGTTTCCCTTAAATTCTGATTCACCCTCGGTAGATTGATCGAATTGCGTTTGTGGTACTTGAAAAGGTAATTTTCATAGTTTCAGATCGTAACATGTTATCCTGTTGTTCATAATCAATCGAAGGTCGGTGAACCGATCATCATGTTGCTGACTCCTTGTTCATATTGTAAAAGTTTGTCAAAACCTAATTTTATGTAAAAAAAGAAACATGAATGATGCACGATTCATAAGATTTCTTAATACTTTGATCTTCAATGATCAGAGCATTGATCTGATTCAGAATATATATTAACTGAGAACTGAAGGAGGCATTGATTCAGAAGTATAGCAGTTCTGCAGGAAATACAATCCCAACTTAACAGATCTGTGTTTATGGGGTATTTGGATTCAGTGATATCATCAGCCAACCCAAATTTACCGCGTAGTGGTGTTTCTCCGGTCACCGGAGTTGGTGTTTGTCAAGATTCAAGATTTTGCTACGGTTATGCGAGCTCCTCTGGAAAGAGAGCTTCAATGGAGGATTTTTACGAGACAAGAATCGACCGTGTGGATGGAGAGATGGTTGGCCTCTTTGGTGTCTTTGATGGTCATGGGGGTGCTCGAGCTGCAGAATATGTCAAACACAATCTTTTTAGTAATCTTATTAAGCATCCGAAGTTCATATCAGATACCAAATCGGCCATAGTCGATGCATTCAGTCATACAGACTCAGAATTTCTGAAATCAGAAAATAATCAGATCAAAGATGCCGGATCCACAGCTTCCACTGCCATCCTTGTTGGTAACCGTTTGCTGGTTGCAAACGTTGGAGACTCCCGAGCTGTCATTTGCAGGGGTGGCAATGCATTTGCTGTTTCTCGAGATCACAAACCAGACCAAACTGATGAACGACAACGTATCGAGGATGCCGGGGGTTTTGTCATGTGGGCAGGAACTTGGAGAGTTGGAGGTGTTCTTGCTGTTTCTCGTGCATTTGGTGATAAACTATTGAAACAGTTTGTCGTTGCTGATCCAGAAATCCAAGAAGAAACCATCGATGACTCTCTCGAGTTCCTCATTTTGGCAAGCGATGGACTTTGGGACGTTGTCACCAATGAAGAAGCCGTTGCAATGGTGAAACCGATGCAGAGCCCAGAAGAGGCAGCAAAGTCGCTGATGCAGGAAGCTTCTCAGAGAGGTAGTGCAGATAACATCACAATAGTCGTTGTCCGTTTTTTGGATAACCAAACGGGATCATCTCCCAGTGATCGACAAAACGCTCAACATCAGAAAACGTAAGATTTATCGAGCTTTTATAGATTGCACCATAGCTGATCTACCTCAGAGTTGAAGAGATCTTCGATTCGAGTCCTTAATGCTGACCATAGTTTCAGCTTGTGACTTCCTGTTGCTGCGATTTACGGTTTCTGATGGTACGGTGGTTTCATCTGCTTCAGAGATGAGATCTCAACTTGTAAGAAAAATGCATCCAAATATTTGATTAATTGTTTCATCTGTACGATTCAGAAGTATGTGTATAATACCTTGATCAGTTTATATTGTTAATGTGGAAACCTATGACTAACAATCTAAGTAACACTTTTTTTTATTAGCATAGATATCCAACCTGCTATGCGAGATGACTAATCACAAGACGACCGTCTGCTTTGCAGATAGCCCAAAGTCACCGCATTTGAACCTCCGTAGCCACAAGGGGATTATTATTCCTCCTGGGATTTGAACGTGGGACCTCCTGGGTAACACTTTAATAACCATTCATTTGTTCGATATATATATATATATATGTACATAAAAGTAATTGTATTTTTTTCAAGACAAATTACTTTTATGCACATGTGTATACCGGATAAATGAATGGTTTATCAAAGTATTTATCAGTTTTCCATTTTCTTTTTGTAATTTTCCTCTGAGCTCAACCCTCATATTGTTAACGTAATTCATTTGTCAATGGGAACGAGTTTCATTCTTCTGCTTTGTTGAGGAATGTTTCATTACCTAGTATTTGGTAACGGATCGTTTTGTTGCATCCAACCAGATATCATTAATGATTTTTATTTCCGTTCCCAACCCAACCATGATCGAATCTTTTTATAGCTGATTTAGGAATCGCAATTGACTGTGTAAGACGAGAACAACCACCGTTGGGAGTTTGAAACCATGAGAGATGATTGTCTTAGTGTTAACGGTTGGAATTTACAATCACACCCTTCATAAAACAGATAAAGTTACAAACTTTACGAGTTATGAATCAATATGTGATATCAACCAACAAAAATATAGAAATCAACGTAAATGCGATTAATCAAACGAGCACAAAGCAGCAATTGTATTTGAGATTTACGTGGTTCTACAACTGAAATGGTGATGTACATTCACGAGGAAGAGGACAATGTTTGTATTGATGGAGAAACAGAAAACCAAAAGAAAAGGGCATTGTATGCAACAATTTTTTCGATAAACGCTTATCGGGTCAAAGTCGTTACGCTTACTTATCGGATAAGACTATAGATGAAAATGTTATCCGTCAGGGCAGAGATTCCCTGGTTTGACGGGTAACGGGGCGGGAACGGGAATCTATTTTCATACCCAAAGTGGGATCGCCTCGGGGATAACATTACCCGCCCTTAATCTTATCCGATTATTTTTTTATTTTATTTAATATATGTATCATAGTGTGACTATAAATAAATATGTATACATGTATATATTTATTATTAAATAGAAAATATATTTGTTTTTTAGTTTGTTAATTAATGTAGAAATGATTCATTATAGTTTTGATTTTAAAAAAACGTCATTTTTTACTTCCAACGGGTTCCACGAACCCGTCGGAAATTAGCCGGGGCAGGGTTCGGTGTGGTTCATGTCATCTTTGGTCAAAATGTCAAAGACCACTTTATATGAGAATTGAGATCACAGTTTTACAAAAGTCAACTCTACATTTTCTTGGCTTTAATTTCCATCCAAAACATGTATTTATGAAAGGTTTCAGATTTGAACACATTCAATATCAAATAAAAGCCAAACAATAGTTGACTTTACAAAAGTCAACTTATTCATACTTCTTAATCCAAACCTTTGTTACAGTAAAACTAAACCTCCGTATATCTTATTTAAGAGTAGGATATAGGGGTAAAATATATACATACGTTTTGTATAAAGAAGAATAAGAATTTGATTAGGATAGTTAAGGGCATTTAGGTAATATAGTATTATGAATAAGAGACATGTATAACTTAAAGGTTTTCTTTAGATTAAGGGGGCGTTTACCAAACGCTTATCTGGGTAAGAGCTTACTAAGTCACGTTACCTTACCGAATGAATGTAGTAATGACTAAGAATATTACCCGGTAAGAGCGAGGCAAGGAAAAGAGTCTTACTCGGTAAGTAAGGACGATGACTTCTACCATGGTAAGCGCTTACTAGGTAAATTGTTGCATACAATGTCGTTTTCGTGAACTAAAATCTTACCGAGTAAGTAAATGATAGTGTTAAATTTTACCGGTAAGTACTTACCGGTTAAGTGTTCGATAAACGGTCTATAAGTCTAGAATAAAAAATGATTTTTTGGTCAATATTTTGAAATAACAAAAAGATAACGAACCTGTCCAGAGTGGGTGTTAGATTAAATATTAATGTTTAATAAGTAATTTAAAATATAATGTAACCAATAAAACACTATCATTTTACTTGACTTACATTATTTTAAAAAAGCGTCGTTTTTTTTTGTTATTGTTATCTCTGAATGAATGAGATGTAACGTGACGAAAGGGTTAAACCTTAAACTTTACAAGTTACGGTGAGGTTACCGTGTATTTTAAGGCGTACCCTAAGGCCGCAAACACAACACATACACATATATAAATATATATACACGCACGCACGCACGCCCACCCTTGTATTTGTTGGTGTTTTGAGTGATACTTTCGAACAAATGAAATTCATATAAGGTAACAAAACCAAAAATAAAGAAGAATCTTTGATACCAAATATATAGAGCTTGTTAAAATGATTCCAAGAGTATAACATCGGGATTATATCTCTTGAATCTTTATTCACTAATTTTTTCAATTTCAAGAATTCGTGTTCGACTTTTCGTGTACGAGAATGTGAGTAAATATTTACTTATTTAAGGTTTTAGTTTTTAAGTTATTTTTATGTTTATTTAAGTTTTAGGCCTCATACATAATTATCATTTATCACTCAAATTATATATTAAAGTAGCCCTACATTTAAAAAATAAGGCGTCGTAACGTGCCATAACGTGTTGTGACGCACCATAACATGTTACAGTGCAAAACAAGCCTTACAGTTGAGCCATGAGGGTTAACCCGACAGCGAACCCAAGCCTTGATACCATATAATACGCCATAACGAGTTCTTTAGAACCATGGTTAGAACATGATACAAAGTTAAAAGAAAAATGTGTATATACACATTTATATTGACGATACAACCAGCGACATCCCAAGTCAATTTTGACTTCGTTGGATACGTTGTACTTTGCACTTTCAAGAGTGCATTTCAGTAACAAAAAGAAAGTGCAACGGTCTCTTTTTCCTCACACTTTTCACAAGTCGGGAGATTTATCAAGGAGTTGCTCCATTCTTTAAGACAGAAGTCGATTCTACATACATCCCACACTATATCCACCCCAAGGTGGGATATTGGAATATATTGGAATCATTTGTTTTGGTTTTAATGTTTCCTAATTCCTTCCTATAATTTTTTGCAAAAATAATAAACTAGAACAAAGTTCCTCCGGCTTGTAGCTTAGGGGCCGTTTACCAAACGCTTACTCGGGTAAATGAATATTAAGTTACATTACCTTGTCGGATGAATATGTAAGGACCAATAATCTTACCCGGTAAGAACGAGACATGGACCAAGAGTCTTACCCGGTAAGTGAAGGCGACGACTCTTACCACGATAAGCGCTTAGCGGGTAAATCATTGCATACGATAGCGTTTTGGTGAACTAAAATCTTACCCGGTAAGTAAATGATAGTGTTAAATTTTACCAATAAGCTCTTACCGGGTAAGTGCTTGATAAACGGCCCCTTAGTTGGCAAAGGAGCGAAGCAACTTTGTCCAAATACCCAACAGGTTAAAGTTTGAATACTGTCGGAGAAGGGCTTGAACCCCTCTGCTAGCCTCACCATTAAGGTGGAGTATGAATGCAACACAAAACTCAGGTGAAGAACCCATGAAAGCAGCTGCAGTTCCATTAGAGCATGAAATGTAACAAATGTGTCTCAAAGTTCCTCATGATCAATGCCAAGAAACAGCTACCATTGATCAACCATCACAGAACCAGACACAAACCCTGCAAATCATTCTTTTCTTTCTGCTATTTCTACATGGGTTCTATAAAATATATATATGATATATAACCGATCTATGCTAGAAAATTCTATGTAAAAAGGTCGGTTCTCGCATACCGTGCAGAAGGAACCGGGTGCTCTCTGATCCGTGATAATAAAATAGAAACATGCTCCACAGCGATGTCAAGCCGATCTTTTGATTTGGCTGACTCTGTCACAAGATTCGACACCATACCTTGTAATAACTGAACTCTTTCTGCATGATCACTCAAAGTGTTCTGAAGGAGCTTCGCGGATGTGTTGATCCGCCGCCAACGGAGTGGCATATACCGTTCGGGAATTTGAAAGCAATTTCCGGTAGACAGGACCCGAAGAGCATGCCGACAAAGGATTCCTGAGAACTCAAAGTGGTGGCAGCTACAGCTGATGATGCCTTCACGTGGGACCCAATAGACTTTTCGACCTCCTTCGAGCTTAGTATGGTGTCTAACGAGAAACCCATCTTCGAGTTGAAATGATGCATAATGGGCAGCCATTACAAGTTGTTCTTGGAGCTTAGAGAATGCAAAAGGGGTTAGGATTGACGCGGCGTGGGATTCCATGGGAGCCCCTGTTTTCAAGCAAATGTTTTGAAGGTTTTGTTGCATTGTTTGCTGTTCCCCTGCTTGATCTTTGAAGTCCACAGCAACAGCCACCTGATTTTGCAATGTGTATTAAGTGGCAAACGAATAGAATAAGCCAATGCTCAAACTAATAATCAATAAAATAATAATTGTAACAACAAATGCATCTTGACAGATACTTAGGATGCATTTGGTACGCAAAAGGGAGAAGAAAGAACTAGACGGGTGAGAGTGAGGTAGATAGGTAAAAGAATTATGCAAGGTTTCAGAGTTTTAATTTGACATGGGTAGTTCAGTAATTTAGCAATCCTGTCCATCTCCCTGATTTTTGTTCCATCTATTTTGGTGGGACAACAAAAATACATGTCTGCCTCACGCAATCTTGTCATGTCCTAGTCTTAATGTCTCACCGAACAAAAGTTTTTGTCCTATCATGTCCCATCCTATCCTACGTACCAAATGCACCCTTTGGAGTGGAGGACAGGTTTGCGTGCCATTTTTTAGATTTTTTTCATAATACCATATAAATTATCCTCACAATAACATAATCAAATTCCAAACTGAGGGTCTCCATGGAAACAACTGCTCAACCCTTTGGAATGGAGGACATATTTGCATACATCTCATCCCTCAAGACCCTATTTTCGAGTGGAGATATACTGAGTTTACTTGGTTCTGTTTAGCAGAATTAAATTCCAAGCTTATGATATCAATACAACACAAGTTATATAAGATCAATTAAAACAAGCTAATAGTGAAAGATAACATACTTGTTCAATGAAGTGTGCCAGCCGAGTTTGGGCACTCAAGAATCGTTGGATGAAAGCATTTATAGCTTTTGAATGGCCGGTTGTTGTCATTCCAGCAAAAAAGTGGCTTCTCAAATACGGCAGAGCCCAGAGAGTTCTTGAGGCAAACAATGTGTTTATATGACGGTTAGTATGGAGCCCAAAGGAATTAACCATATCTCTCCAACCCATTTCAAAATCTTCGATTGCCTCCAGATTATACAATCGATAAAATTCACCTTTCCACTCATTGTACCGTTCTCCCAAAACAGCATTAAACCAGGATGGGAACTTCGCAACAATTAGCCAGATACAATAAGCATGCTTAGCAGCAGGCATTTCCATCGCTATAGCTTCTCTTACGCACAAAGTTTGGTCAGTCAATATTGTCTGTGGAACCTTCCCGTTCATGAACCCCAAGAATGCCTTTCATGGAATGAAATGATTAAATTAGAGATTTTGAAAGATAAAAGTTGGCATAAATCGAATGTGAAACAAATATCATTGATTGTGTTTGGAACATATAATCAACTAGCTAAGATTTTCAATGGTGTAACAAGATCTAGATACATATAACCAAGAAGCAACAGGAAAATAAACACAAATAACTAAAGAAGTGTCTCTAAGGAAGGGAAAACGGAGAAGTTAATACAATCCTCAAAAAGTTTCCGTTTTGAGCTATTACATAGAATAATGAGTTCCACTTGACTTGATTAAAATAGACATGTAAAATACAACAAACCAAACAATCTAAAAAATATACCCCCCCCCCCCCCCCCGAGGTGGAGTCTCGGGATAAGAAAGACATATGTCATGATCTAATAATCCATAAAATTCCTTCAAAATGTCCTTCCTTCTTTACCCTCTTTTTGTTCTGCGATGCCGTGAAAGTAAGCACCCCCACTCCACCTCCAGGTGGGATATAATGGGCTCGTTCGGTTTGGTGTTTTAGACCGGTTAGAAACGGATTAAGACCATGACTGATTCAATGGCATTTTATATGGAATAATTCACGTTTTCTAACTTGTAAGTTCTAAAGTTTCTATGCCAACATAGTTTTCTAATGTAATTTTTAATGTTAAAAAACAAGAAAGTAGTCGAGGATGGATAACCAGGCCTCAGTTTGAGGCCAAGAACCACGTAGAAACGATTGATGCAAAAGACCGATTATATAGGACAGTTATCCATTTCCTTTTGTACATCTCTACATACAGGGTGCTTTGGGGTAACATAAAGGCAACATCATAGATTGTTTGTCCTTGTTGGTCAGTATTGTTATTCTTCTTCTGGTAAGTTGCGTCTCTTACTCAACTTTTTCGGTTAAGGCTCACTTTGTATTTTTTATATATTTAATATACAAACACAAACATAACTTCTTTATCGTTTTGATTTGATTCAAGAATAATCTATCCATATTTATATGAGTGCAAGCGCACATTTTGTATCCTGCATTTTTTAGAATAGTCATATCCTAGTGGCTACGTATCCTGCACATATATCCTTGCAACATAGGTCTCCAATGATTCAAGTGATGGTCTCTTGCTATAACATTCACTATGCCATTCAGATTGAAATAAATTGTTGTTTCATGAAAGATGGTACTAGCACAAGTTCACACACAGTTTTCGTGGCCCAAGCAGCCTGTTCTTTTATTGAAGGTGCCATTAGTTACATACTTATCATAGTCCGTTTGCGTGGCTTAGATCATTTCGGCTACAAGGGTATTGATGGAAAACAAACCTTACAGTCATGTCATTGCTTATTTTCACACCTTCAGGATCCACACCTGTAGCTTGCTCTCTTGTTCCTTTTCTTCTGTTTTGCAAGCCAGGGTCTTCACAGAAACATACTCTCTACCCCTTGGGGTAGATGAAAGGTCCGCATACATCCTTCCCCCTCTCAAAAGACCCTACCTCTGCATGGTATTTATTGGTGTTTGTTTGGTTGGGTTTGATATGATTTTAAACCTTGTGGTCATGTTTTAAGAGAAGGAGAGAATTGTCTAGTTTCCAGTTTGTCTATTGCACGTCTATTTCTATGTAGAACATTGCTTAAGTAACCATGCATAAACATGGTCTTGTGATCAGTTAATTTATCTAATATGCATCAAAAGAGTGGCCAGTCAGAGAAAGGCAAGTTTGGTGGGTGGTGAGCAGGTGAGACAGTAAGAACGAAACAGATTCTTCCCAAAGACGGTGTGATTATATACACCTCCCACAGGCTCAAGATGAGTAGTAGTGTGTGCAATAAATTACAAATACTTTAGTTAGCAGCCCATTGGCCATGCAAACCAAATTCCTGACAAAATCCCTATCCACAAAAAGCATGCCCCAAGGTTATTATCATGGTATGAAGTGTAGAACTGAAAAAAGGAAAGATGTATTATATATGTAAGACCAAAAATTTGAGGATCAATTCAACAGTTAATAAAGATAGGTAAATAAAGTAACTATTCATCATACACAAAAAAGGCACTTATTGAAAGAACAACAGATTAGTTCATCTAATTACCTTCAAAGCCCATGAGTAAGACTTCAAGTTCTCCTCACGCAGAAGTGCACAACCAAAAAAACACGGCATACCATAGTTATTCACACCAACCCATATGCCAAGTGGCATATCAAAAGCATTTAGTCGATGTGTTGTATCGAACACCACTGCATCACCAAAAACTTCATATGATTGGATAGATGATGCATATGACCATGCAATATTTTCCAACCGACCATTTGGATCAAGTTTAAACTCAAATTGGAAATTATGATCTTTGTCTTTGATATTTCTACACATTCTGAGTAGATCAATGCTCTCATCCTCTAGATCCACCTTCCTAAAAGATTGAAGCAAATTTCTTACATCTTTTTCAGTAAACGGAAGATATCCTGGCTCCACACATTTCTCTAGTTCCATAAGCCTCATCATTTGCTGCACTGAGATTCCTGTTTTAGCAAACATGAGGATTCTGTTTTTGTCTATATCCGATATAGTACGATAAGCAGGAAGAAAACGAACTTGGTTGGGTTCTAAGAGTTCGTGATTATGATGGTTTGAAAATCCTGTTACTCGCCATTCTGGTGCTCCTAATTCAGTCGTCTTGCTTATGCGCATATATGCTTGACATCCACACCTTGAGGACTTACGATTTCTTTGTGGTTTATTTTCATTCAAAGTTTTGACAGGTGTATTACCTGCCCGATGGCAGACAAAATATCGTCTTGTAAGACCTTTTCCAACCCCATCTTTACCTTCTGTGCGATGTCGACGGATGGAGAAACCACATCGTTTGGCAAATTCACTGTAGAATTCGTAAGCAGCATCATGAGTAGCAAATCTTTGCCCAATATACGGAACAGCATCATTTGTTGTTTCTAAGGATAGCTTGGTTTCATCTGGTGATTCTTCTGTGCTACTTGTCTCATCCAAAGATAAAGACCGTTGATCTGAGTGGTCATCATAAACAACCAACAGTTGGTCAGCATCCTCGGACATCATAGTTGATAGCTCGCAGTAGTTTCTGGATCAGTGCCAACTGTTTTTTTACCCTTAACAAAGAAAATTAACATGAAATGGGGAAGAAAGATTACATTTTTTTCAAGAATAAGCAACCATATCGAATAAATACTTATTTGACTCTGGATGTGGTTCAACATAATTGTTTGATTGTTAGTCTATGTCTAAAATACACAAAATAGATGAATCTTGTAGACCAAAATAATAACATAGTAATCTATAGCGACAGTGTCGATTCTATCCACTTTTAGCTTGAAAGTTTTCCAGAAAAACTAAACATTGCTATTATACAGACCAAACACCAAAGTGCCAAAACAGATATATTGCAATTTTTGTGTGATAGAGTAGTAGATATCATACAGAAACATATTTAACATTTCATTAGGGAGTATAATTAGCTAACTTTGAGCTAATACATCAATTAATATGCAGTTCATAACTTCATAAAAAGTGTTTATGGGAAAGAAAACATTTGTGCATAATTTCTTATCTGTCTTTTTCCCCTTCTTTCAATCTTTTTTTGCATGGTACATCTTTGATCTTTACACACTCCTCCTAAGAAAGAAGATGAAATTTATACCCTTTTTATTTCAGGGAAAATTAAATCGTTATTACTCAGGTTGATATAGTTGAAAATGTGAGTTTTCCATAAATGTCGGCTATCTAACCTCAATTACCAGAACTAATCCCTTATTATCCAATACTAGTACTCATAAATGGCCTACATAAATCTTCCATCAATTTCTATTCTAATTAAGAAAACTTTCACTGATATCAAAGAATATGCACCATTTGCTACCATTCTGATCAACACATACTCACTTTTTTTCAGAATGAAACTAAGAAAATACATGGATTCTCAGAGTCACAACCACTAGGCATCTTAATCACTTACTCGTTTTGCACCAAATCATTCAGGATCTATCAAACAGCCGCGGGTTAGATACGAATTCATCCTTACGCCTCCAATCACACACTCACTTCCATGATGGATGAAACAAAAAATGATACTCCTTCCCATACAACTAAAACTTCTGCAACCATCTTTCTTCAAGTAACTTAGGAGCTTCTCATTCATATAATGAGAGTTTTTTCTAAACAAAATCATAAAATTGTTGTTCTAAACTACATATTACCTATTGGTGAAACGTTTCAAATAAATTATCTTCAAAAATTCATCAGCAAAGCATACTTGTTCAATAGTAAATGCTAGCAATTTCCATGGACAAGGGAAGTACATTACTCAATTTCCCAAACTTTTCCTCGATTTCCAACTATTTTCAACAATGAGTATGATCACCTGATCCTCCATTAGTGTTCTAACCACATTTATAGCATCAAATTGAAATCAAATGTTCTCATCTACGCATTTTCCTAATAGCAGAGTATATCATCCAACATTGTAGTAAGAAAATTGGGGCTTCAGAAATTACTTACAAAAGCGATGAGTATCGTCCGGTGACTGATCGAATATGTTAGTTTACATGAGAGTGAGCAAGCCAGGTAGACGATTGATCGGAAGAAAGGGAGGAGTAAGGATGAACCCTAATTTGCGCCAGGATGCGATGTATACGCTTTATAACGTGCGCACTGCTTATCCAGCGCCGTTGTGTTTCCAAACACTCCGCATGCGAGACATAATAATGGGTAAGGGGTCGGGTTAACTTTAATTTTAAGTGTAATTAGTAAGGTTTTTATGGTTGCGTTCGCTCTATTGGACACAACAGGACTTATTAGAAATAAACTAGTTGTGTATCTGTGTAATACGACGGGAGCCATAAACTTTAACAATTTTGAAATTTTATTGGTTTTATAAGATAAGATTTAACGATAATATATGTTACACTTGGTCTTTACATATTAATACAATTTAAATAAATAAGAGTTATGGTTCTAATTACAGACTATCGATGAAAAAAATTGTATGACAGTTTAAAATATAATATATTTAAAATCCAACATATTTAAACGACTCCACAAATGTGTTCGATTTACACAAAAGAACCAGAAAACTTGAGTTTTAAGATAAACAATCAAAACCAATAAAGAAAACTACAAATTTAACAGATCATAAGCCACGAAATGACAAAAAAGATGAATTTTAGGGGGTGTTTGGGATTGCTTATCAAAACAACTTATTGACTTATTTCAGTCTGGTACCGGAGATAAGCCATTTTGGAGTGTTTGGGTAAAAAAACAAAAAAAACTGCTTATACCGGTACCAAACCGGTAATAAGTCATTTTTGATAAGTTAATCCATAGTGACTTATGAAAATTGACTTATTACCGATTTACCATTTTAACCCTGTCTAAACAACCCCCCTAATCGATCATGTCTTCTCCAAAATCGATCAGATCTCCAGGTACGTCTTCTCCAAATCGTGTTCTTCTCCAGGTACGATTTCTACAACCATGGAACTCGATTT